TATCATCAAGTTTGCTTCTGTATATTTCCATTTTTTCGGCTGTCTTCGCTAAAGTTGGAGAGTGTATTTGCTTAATGATTTCAGCTTCTTCCCATCCAACTACGGAACCTTGGGCCTGAGCCATCTGGGCCAGCACAGTTGCGTTTGATTTTTTCCTAACATCATATTTATGCTCTCTGACCCTTACCCCCAATTTTCTCGTTGTAAATCCTATGTACTCCTTTTTTAATCCTAATGGTTGGTTCTCGTACGGGATCTTATAAACTCCTGCTTTATCTTCTTTCTTAATATCCCCTTTATCGTTTCTTAGAATTTTAAAAAAATTATGAGCTCGTTTTAAAATCACCGTTGATTCTTTTATGTCCGCAATCTCCTTCATAACGCTTCTTACATTTTTGTTGTAGGTGAATTTTATGTATTTACAAGGTCTTTGTTTAGAGACCTTTGTATCCTTTATCTCAAAGTTTCTAACAACTCCGGCAATTATGTTTTTCCTGTAGCCTACGGATTCTGCTATAAACGGATCAATGAAATTCCTTCCCTTTGTCCTGTAGTAACACCGTATTATATTTGTTTACATTTAGATTATTTCATGTCTCTCTAGATGGCATTGAATAATAGAAATTTAATTGTTATAATTTCCAAATTTTTCGAAAAAATTAATGTGTTTGAGAATGATTTAAAATTCGATATAATTATGATTTCATATTTTATATGTCTGGATAGACATAAATACATTTCAGTGTATTTACGTTTATTACAAATATTGAAATGTTTCAACTGAAAATTTTTAAAATAAAAATAATTGGAACAATGCAAAGCTTAATCGAGTAATGCATAGCGGTAAAAAATTATGAGGACGATCATTACATTTCTGATTGAAATGATTAAGAAATTATTACATATAACGCAAATAAGTTGTAAGAACGCGTTGTATATATTATATTATTATATTTATATTACATACATTATACTTACAAAAATGAATCTTTGAACTGGGGAACCAGGAGTAACGCTTACAGTATACTTTCCATTTTCGGCAGCCTTCGTTAATTCAGTAAAAGTTGTGGGCACAATTTCTCGACCAGGAAAAGTGATGAAGGACATCAATACTCCGCTATAGCTAGCAGTAATAATAAATATTGCAAAAATCCATCCCGAGACAATCAGTCTACAGCTGTGACTGGAAGGTGAAAATAACTGATTTCCTGTGAAAATAAGACATTAATATGAATTAAAGTAGTTATCATTACGTAATATCTGTTTAACTAAATTGTTATTAATATTAGTTTTCATACAACCTTGATTAAAAAATGACCCAAATAACGCCCAAGCAATATCGTATGCTTTTAAATGTTTCTTGTTATGCAACTTTTCATCTTTATGAAATATTATTGTGAATAAAATCACACAGATAAAGAATACAGAAATAATTATTATCCACATCTGTAAAGAAATAACAAGTATATTTTTAACTATTACATGAATGCAGACTCAGATATATAAAATATCTAAAACATTTATTTTGCTGAAAATATTTAATTGTAGCTTTGTTTTATCTTTGAATCTTGCTGTTATTTGAGCATAATTTTTGTTAGATTATTTCTTACTAAAAATTTAGGTAATGCTTTTAAAAAACTGTTAAGTTTTTTTATGAAAATAACCTGAATTCTTAGTAAGAATCGAATATTACGTTATAAATTTTCTTTCTTATAATCTTCGACTACTAACTTTTAATTACGTCTTTTTTCAGGAAATTTAGTTTCTACTCAATAAATTTGAAATATCAAAATATATATTAATTAAAATAATATATTATTCTATTCAAATAATTTATCTGGAATTAATATATAATATTATAATTACCTGAATAGAAAATGGACGAATTACTGCAGTTAATTTTGATAATTCTGCTGGTTTACCAACAACGAATCTTACGCCATCTACAGTAATGATCTGAGAGAAATCCATGTATTTATAACGCCCAAAAGACTGTGTACTTGGCACGATGATGTCAATTGACTAAACAATATAAATAGACAGTGAAAAAAATGTATAGTACAGCGTTGCTATCATCTAATAAAGTATATTTCTTACTTTATTTCTGAAAAGATACTTAATATCTCTTATATCTCTCCTTTTAATTTGATAACTGTAATAAAAATGTCTACTATAAAGTAAGTAAATGGAAATTTATAAAATTATTCATATTTTAAATAATATATATTTTATTTTCTAGGATTTAGATCGAATATCTTACTTAAATCCGAGATATTCGACAAGAACGAGAACGACTCTTGACAGAAATCCTTTATCTAAAAACTTTTCTTTTGTTTCATCCAAATAAACAGCTCCGGGAAACTTTTCAATGCAATAAAATAAAATTATAATANAAACTGTCAGGAGGTGCTCTTACGTAGTTATGTAGGCGTTTCAACTCAGCACTGGCACCTACAAAATTTGTGGCATTATCTGTCCAAATTGATGCACTTTTACCCCGTCTGCTAAAAAATCTTTTCAAAGTTGCTATCATTGCCTCGGTTGTTAAGTCAGTAACTACTTCAAGGTGAATTGCCCTAGTCACAAGGCAAACGAAGATTGCGACGTAGCACTTGTGATAGATGCCCTTTCTTTGTCCTTTATATTTAATAAGAAAAGGACCACAAAAATCAATCCCTACATGTTTGAAAGGGGGATTTGGAGTGATTCGCTCTGAAGGAAGATTTCCTAGGATTTGTTCCATGCCTTTGGGTTTATTTCTAAAGCAAACGATGCATTCATGTACTACCCTTCTAGCCAGGTTTCTTCCACTTAAAGGCCAGAATTCTTGTCTGACGAGATAAAGTAAAGTTTGCGCACCAACATGCAAATTTTTCAAATGATAATATCTCATAATTAAGTAGGTTAACTTGTGATTTTTAGGTAGCAGAATTGGAAACTTTTTGTCAAATGGTAAATTTGAATTGCTCAATCTACCGCCGACTCTCATTAGGCCTTGTTTATCTAGAAAGGGATGCAATCTGCTTAACTGACCCTTCGTTAGATTCCTTCTCATTTGCAGTGTTTTTATTTCTTCGGCAAAGGCAATTCCTTGTACCTTGCCGATCAAATAAATTTTGGACTCCTGGAGTTCTTCCCTTGATAAAGGTCCAGATCGACGAGTTACATGCCTTATGTTATGTAGAAACCGGAAAATATAACTGAGTATGCGAATTAATTTCATATAATTATTATTAAGTTCAAACAAGGTATTGTCAAGGTCAGAGCTTGACACTGACATTAAATTAACGTCCGATTGGTTTTTAAGCTCAGATAGATATTGTTCATCTGAGGAAGTGTCGATGGCATATTCATCCTGATGTTCAACGGATGATGCTAGTTGAGATTGCGGCCCACTCCACCATAATTCCATGGATAGTAGATCTTGCGGTTTTAAACCCCGAGAAACTACATCTGCAGGATTGGAGTGGGAGGCTATATGTTTCCAGTGACAGCCTTCAGTAATAGATCGTATCTTTTCCACTCGATTCGCAATAAAGGTCTTCAGGCGATATGCGGGAGTGTTGATCCAAGCGATGGCAATAGTTGAATCTGTGTGTAAGATCACCTCAGCTATATCCATTCGCAGACATGAGCGTACTTTCTTGATCAGCTGAGACAGTACAAGACAAGCTGATAGCTCTAATCGAGGGATTGTAATGACCTTAAGAGGAGCAACACGAGATTTACTAGCAATAAGTCGTGTCTTGCCAGCTCCATCTTCCTTTATGCAATGCATGTAAACTACTGCTCCATAAGCTGACTCCGAAGCATCTGCATATCCTAGCAAGACAGCTCTTTGAAGGGGGTCTGTCAAAATATATCTAGTAATCTTAAGGTCGTCCAAGGCCTTCAAGGACGATACAAAGTTCACCCATTCATAGTTAAGGGTTTCTGGTAGAGTATCCTCCCAATCGAGCTTACTGAGCCACAGTTTCTGTAGAAAGATCTTTGCTCGAATTATAACTGGTGCTAGAAGACCCAAGGGGTCATAAAGCCTGGCGATGACACTCAACACTTCTCGTTTCGTATAATGCAATTTTTCTGGAATCGATACCTTGAATATGAACTGATCTTCAACCGGTTTCCAAATAATGCCTAAGGTTTTTACTGTTGGTTCTGCACTTGAGGAAAAGCAATGTTCTTTATTTTCTGGTGAACTGCTGTTCATCAATTTCATTGAATTAGAATTCCATTTGTGTAGTGTCATTCCACATGTGCTCAACATATTGCACAACTGAGATTGTAGTTCGAGGGCAGCATCGAAATCTTGCTCGATACGATGTCTTCCAGTAGACATCTCGTAATATGGTTTTATAGGCCAGAGGATAGCTTGCTTCTTCATCGTGAGCCAACTGCTTAAGAGTTCTCACCGCAAGAAAGGGAGCACTGGCGGTCCCGTAAGTCACAGTTTTCAGTCTATAGGTGACTGGCATTTCATCTTCCTCGTTCTTCCAAACAATTCTCAAGAGATCTCGTTGCGAGGGCTCAATTAGAATTTGACGAAACATTTTCTGGATATCTGCTGTAAATGCGTACTTGTATTTTCGAAATCTTGTCATAATCTCGAAAACATCTTCCTTTACTTCACCTTTCAAGAGATGATCATTTAAGCTCAGTCCAGAAGTTGTGGGAGCAGATGCGTTGAAGACTACCCTTAACTTTGTAGTGGTTTTGTCTGGTCTAAACACACCATGATGCGGAAGGTAATAACATATGGGGTTTGCTACCTGATCAGCAGAATGCTCTTGCACCTTTTCCATATGATCCAAATCCAAATACTCCTTCATGAAATTCTGATATAACTCCTTTAACTGATTGTTCCTTGATAGTCTCTTCCATAACTGATTCAATCTCCTCACTGTTAATTTCCTTGACTCTCCCAAGTTTTGTATGTCCTTGGTTGCCATCTGCACAATATATCTCCCGTCCTCATTACGTCTGTGAGTTCTTTGATAATGATCTTCGCAATACTCCTCTTCTTTACTCATCAAACTTGGAGCCTCTGTTAGAGTCTCTATTTGCCAGAACCTTTGTAAACACTTATCGACTGACTCTGGCTCTGATATTAGTCCACAATATTGATCTTGATTATTAGATTCTGTAGATCCAGTTGCGATGTATCCAAAAACTGTGTTACGAAATGTTAGGTTATTATTGCACGATGGACGAATTTGATCGTTCTTAACTATTTCAAAGAATGCTTCAGCTCCAATAAGCATGTCAATCTTGCCTGGTGTAGCAAATCTTGGATCAGCTAACTGACATGGAATTTCTGTTTTGCTAATGTGTAGAGAGGAAACAGGAAGTAAATCCGTGATCCTTGGCACCACCAAGAACTCTAGCTTCTTAGAAAAAGATCCATTGCCGTTTATTATTGTGGCAATCAGCCTAAACATGACCGAGGTTTTATTTCCACTTATACTGGAGACTGTGAGATCGATTATTTCTTGCGGGGTACCCAGATGACTTGCGAAATCTCTAGTAACGATATTTGACATACTGCCCGAGTCCAATACTGCGCGCGCTTGAATGCTGGCTCCGGTAGTATGATTTAAAACCCAAACCATGGCTGTCGAGAGAATTATTGTCTTATTTCCATTGTCAATGCATGACAGTGAGTGAGGTATACTTTCACGAAACTCTATTGCGTCGGGATTAAGGTCCTGCTTGATTGGAGTCGGTTTGCTGTCGACCACTGGCACATTTGAACCAATCATAGCTTGTTTCTCTCGATGCAGTAATGTATTATGTCGCTTTCGGCATATCTTACAGCAGCTCTTAGAGTTGCAACTGGATAACTTATGCCGATCACTTAAGCAATTGAAACAGAGGTTGTTTTTGGCCACCACATCGTTTCTTTGGGAGGCTTCAAGCCGTAAAAAGGAATCACAAGTGTAAACAGGATGATTTTGCTTACATAAAATACAATGAGACATAGAATTGTTACATTTCACGAACAAGCTTTTCGGTTTAACTCTATCTTGACTACACCTTGGTTTCACGAACGTGGTCTTATTAATATTTTCTAAAATCTGAGAACGCTTTTCCAAAAATGAAATCAAATTATCTAGTTTAGGAACGTCATTCGAACTGATACTGAACTCATACTGTTTTAGAGTCTCCTTATCCAGCTTCTGAAGTACGATATTTAAAATTAAGATATCAGAAAGCTCATTCCTTTCATATCCTAGGACTTTTAGTGCTCGCATATTTCTATTGATGCTATCAATTAAACTCCTCAAACCCCTTGCTGACTCATAAGGTAATTTTACAGAGTCCAGAATCGCATTAACATGGGTTTCTACTATTAATTTCTTATTTTCGTACCTTTCTTGTAGCGCTTGAAACAATGAAGCAAACGAATCGTTTAACGTTTCTAAACTCTTAGCTTCCCCTACGAGAGCAGCCTTCAAATAATGTAGTTTTTGTTCTGCCGACAGTTGCTCGTTTGACGAAATGATATTATCAAATTGCATTTTAAAGTTACTCCATTCTTCATATTTTCCAGAGAATTTCGGTAGAGGAATCTCCGGCAACTTAATATTAGCGGAATTATTTCGAACTACGGGGCCCTGAGTCACCGTGACCACGGACGAATCTGCTTCTAATCGTTTAATACGAGACTGGATCTTAAATTTACAACTTATAATTTTGTCCTCATATTCTTCACTATTGACTATCTCAGTGTCATAATCAGTTGGGCTAGTAATGAAACCCTCAATCTCCCCGTTTAAGGTTCTCAATGACTCTTCCTTTCGACTCAACTGATCCAGTATTTCTAGATGAGTTTCTGTCTCTCTATCGTCGCTTTCAATTAAACTATCGATTTTACTAATTAATTTCGTCACACTAGCTCTTATCGAAGCGCGCTTTTTCTTTAATTTCTCGAGTTGATCCATTTTAAACTGTCTACCACGTATAACGGACAGGTAAATTCCTCCTACCTTGGATAGGTGACTTAATGAAGTTTGACCCAATCTTATTTGCTTGCGAAGTTGTCTCTCTTTTCTTCTTGATCCGCCTCGACGGACCAGATGTTTGTCGATCTTTAATGGACTGTAAAAATATGAAAGTACTGCGGTTTTGCAAAAAATAACGTTTAATGCGGAATGAAACACTGGTACAAAATGGCTGCTACAAATGACCGTTACAGAACTACTCTCGTTCACAAATTTTTTTTT